TTATGAGTCAGATCTGACACTTTTCTTTTCAAACCTCCTTCCCTCATTGTGTTCTGTCTCACTATGGACAATAGCAGCGGTAGAGCTCCTCCATTTTAAACAGGGCAGGGCTCGGGTCGCTTTGGGACCCGGATCTCAATGACAAAAGACCGGAACTTTTTATTATTATGAAATTATAATTCTTCTCCACACTCACACACCATTAAATAACAACCAGGTTTATCAAGTTTGTGAAAGGCCTATTTGATGTGTTGACGCGCCAAACATACTCTCTTTTCTCTATAACTATTGTGTCTATGTGGTGCCACTTTATAATAACTATGTGTTGATTAGTATAAATAAAGCATGCGCAAAGACTTAAAGGAGTTGTATGTGTTACTATATAAAGGTCCTATATCAGGCAAAATGGATTCTCGTGAGCTTTAATCCATGTTTGAATGTTCTTCCCTCATGTTTAGTTTCCTTTACACATGTTTGACTAATCCTTTATTATTAGTCTGTCTACATCTTCAAAGCTCAAAATGCTTCTGCTCCACCTGGTGATGTCATGCAGTGGTAGTTTTCAAGTTAATAGCTAACATTTGTTTAGTAGTGACCAGTGTGGAGTTTTGCAGTCATGAAAAAGGTAATATCAAAGACCATGACTGCAGTTATACTTTCTGATTAGATGTGGACAGTACACAGTGGACTTATTTTGACCTCAGGAGGTGCTTCTACAACATATCTGTACTGGGGCAAGTTGCATTCTGCTCAAACACATAGGATAAAATTAGGTGGAGGACTTTTTAAGGTACAGTAACTTTCTAAAGGTGGCACCTCACCAGCATGACTCCAAGGAAATATAGTACAAAGTTACAACCCATCCATCCATTTTCTTCCAGGGCTGGGCCGTGGGGGCAGCAGTCTAAACAAGGACTCCCAGACTTCCTTCACACCAGGCACTTCCTCCAGCTCCTCCGGGGGGACCCCAAGGAGTTCCCAGGCCAGTCGAGAGACATAGTCCCTTCAGCGTGTCCTGGATCTTCCCCGGGGCCTCCTCCCGGTAAGACATGCATCAGAAGGCATCAGGAACAGATGCCCAAGCCACCTCAGCTGGGACCTCTCGACGTGGAGGAGCAATGGCTCTATTCCAAGCTCCTCCCGTGTGACTGAGCTCCTCACCCTATCTCTAAGACAGCACCCAGCCACTCTGTGGAGGAAACTAATTTTTGCCGTTTGTATCAGCAATCTTGTCCTTTCAGTCATTACCCAGAGCTCATGACCATAGATGAGGGTAGGAACATAGGCTGATCGGTAAATCGAGAGCTTTGCCTTTTGACTCAGCTCCCTCTTCACCACAATGGTCCGATATATCAACCACATCACTGCCAACACAGCACCAATCAGCCTGTCAATCTCACGCTCTGCTCTCCCCTCACTCGTGAACAAGACCCCAAGATACTTGGACTCCTCCACTTGAGGCAGGGACTCTCCACCCACCTGGAGAGGGTTAGACCATATTTCAGAAAAACAGAACAGGACAACATTTCCATGAGAGAGAGAGAGAGAGACGAGTCAGCGTCGTGGAAATGCAAACCTACTCAGAGTAAGGACACTTGTATCTATGTTTATCTGAGCAAGAAAAACAACCAAAACCAAAAAAGTTACATACTATGGCTTTAAAGGGCTTATATTGCACTATTTTCTGATTCTCTATGTTATAATGTTGTTTGCTCATCTCAAACAGACCTGGAGTTGTGTTTTGTTTCTTTCACACAAATGTTAAACACACAAACTCCGCATATTGAGGCTGAGTTCTTTTTTCAAGCTAAAAACACTGTTGGACCTTGTCATGTCATGTCACAACATTAAAATGTAGCTGTTAACTTGAAAACTACGCAGCAAAAAGTGGCGTGTTAAAATTGACTCTCAAAGAATCAATGTTAACAATTGTCAACAATGTTTTTCTCAGAGTTTATAAGAGTCCAAACTGTTCTAGAGTTAATTTAACATTTTTGGAAATGTTAATTAAGTAACACTGGAAAATCGAGAGTTATATTAACGTTTTGAGAGTAAACAGATAACACTTTGTAGGGTTATTCTGATTGAGCTAAACAACACACAGAGGTGTTTTATTTTTACACTTTATTTTAGTTAATTTAAGATGATGAAAAATTTACAAAACTGGTTCAAACTGATCTTCTCTTATGGGAGTTAAAGTGGTGGGTGGGAGGTGCCAAATTCCTAAGAGAAGTTGAATGAAAACTATGGGATGTTGAATTAACCTCAGCCATATCAACTCTGGCAAATAACCCCAACTCAAACCCCCATTTAAAAATCTCTGAAATATTTTACCCTGAAATTTTAACCCTCCAGTTTTTGCTGTGTATGCCACTTCATGACATCACAAGGTGGAACAGAGCCTTCTGAGCTTTGGAGATGTAGACTAATAATGGAGGATTACTCAAACATGAATGAAACAAAACACAAAACTCGAGGTATGTTGTTGATGAGGTAACAACATCCTTAAATGCCTTAAGGGGACAGTCCGGAATTGTGTACATACAGCCTCATTTCCTAGTTAGGCAAAGTGTTGAAGACATGTGGAGACACTTTTTAAAAATATTCCATCCAGTCCTTGTATTTGCAGAGGTCGCTGGTGCTAAGCGAGTGCATGTCAATGGCCATAGTTATCCTTACCCACTCCACAAAACACCTGAAACAAATCTGTTAATACACCAGACTGTCCATGTAAATGTCTGTGTTGATAGAATCATTTTTAGAAACCAACCTTGCATTTGAAGGATTTATGTCTGAAGAGCAGAGAGTTGTACTTTCTGACAGAAAGCTCGGCAGTGGCGGACTGATATATGAGAAAATAGTCCCTCAAGAAGTGACGATTCATGCGATGCAAGGTTAGTTTTATTTCAAACATTATTCTATCAACACAGACATTCACATGGACAGTCTGGTGTAATAACGGATTTGCTTCAGCTCTTTTGTGGAGTGGGTAAGACTGTTTTTAGTGGCAGGATAACTATGGCCATTGACATGCACTAGCCTAGCACCAGCGACCTCAGCAAATACAAGGACTGGGTGGAATATTTACAAAAATGTCTCCACACGTCTCTAACTCTTTGGCTCACTAGGAAATGAGGTCCTGTTGCTATGCTATATGCTATGAACTTATCAAGTGTGGATGCAGAGTATCCTGTGCTGGGTGATGCAAGTGTGCAAAGGCAAATTTGGCATGTACAGGTTCATGCAAATGTGGCGGCAGCTGCACTTAAGAGCACTTTGAATAAGTTAAACGATTTAAGGTAGATTTCTGTTAAGTGTTTTGGGTTAAGTGTCGCTTCCATGCAGCATTGAATTGTCCTTGTGAAATATGATATGGCACTTACAGACCTTTAGGTTAAGTTAAATTGTTTTTGTTATTTAAAAAAAAAAAAAAAACTATACATATGGCTTTGAAAGATAAAATATTTTTATTATCTTGGATTTGAACCACAGGGGACCAACATAACCATTACATTCTGGAGAAAACGGTCACATGATTTCTTTAATACTTTGGAATTTAGAAAAAAAAAAAAATACAAAATGGATAACTAAGCAAATTAGACTTTTTTTTGCCAGCCTCATTTTCATGTAATCCATTTTGTGACATGCGCATTTAAATTAGACTTGGTTCCATATCCAGAAATATTAGTTCTGGGGGTATTAGTAATCTGGTAAAGTTTCATGCTTGTACCATAAAAGCAAACTATTTTGATCCTTAACAGCTCCAGTATATGTATGTCCAAAATTCCGGTATGTCCCTTTAAACCTCACAATAGTCAATTTTGCGTAATAATGGACCTTTAGCAGTTTCCTTCTCTAGACCCCGGGCTTTCTCCCCATTGGGTCGGAGACAGTGAGTGGAGCAGACAGACCATAATAAGTTTGTCATTCGAATCCTTTGCTTTAGTCTAAATAGAGCTGTGTAAATGCGTGGGGTATTTAAAGTCCTGTTTCCTCTTTGACAGCTGACGTGAGCCTTTAAACAGAGAGGGAGCAGGTTCATTATTACTGTCACAAACTGGAGACGCGTTTGTCAAAGCAGTTTCACGCCAGCGTCGGGGATAAAAGACTTCGCTAAATGAGTCTGATTAGAAAGGGTGCATTATTCACCATTTTCATTTGGCTCCTGAATTAGAAACATGTCATTTCTGTCCATCAAAGTTTATTATTTAAATTGCCAGGCAGAAAAAGATGTGATTTAAGTTTGTATTATGTGATAACAATAATAAGGCGATGTTTAAATACTATCATTTCTAGACTAATTTTGATCTTAAAATGCTTATCCTGGTGTTTTTATTTCACTATTTTGTCTTTTTCTATGTGGACTAAACCAGGACTAAGCCAGGACTAAACCAGGACTAAACCAGATCCAAACCAGGACTAAACAAGTTCTAAATCAGGACTATACCAGAACTAAACTAGGACTGAACCAGGGCTAAAACATGACTTAACCAGGACTAAGCCAGGACTATAACAAGACTTAAACCAGGTCTAAAGGAGGTCTAAACTAGGACTGACCCAGGACTAAAACAGGGCTTAACCAGGATTAAACTAGGACTAAACCAGGACTTAACCAGGACTAAACCAGGTCAAATGCAGGTCTAGGACAAAACCAGGACTATACCAGGACTAAACTAGGTCTAAGCCAGGACTGAACCAGGACTAAACCAGGACTACATGAGGTCTAATGCAGGTCTAAACTGGGGCTGAACCAGGACTCAACCAAGACTACATGTTTTCTCCTTTTACTGTGCCCCATTGCTCTTAGGTGAAGACTTGGGTGTGGTCTGTACTAAACCAGGATTATACCAGGACTAAACCAGGACTAAACCAGATGCAAACCAAGACTAAACCAGGTCTAAGCTACTACTGAACCAGGACTAAAACAAGTCTTAACCAGGACTAAACCAGGTCTAAGCCAGGACTGAGCCAGTACTACATGTTTTCTCCTTTGGCTGTACCCCATTACTCTTCAGCGAGGCTTGTGTGCGGTCCACAGTCCCGGGTTTGCCCTCTGACCCCGGGAGGAGGCCCCTCTTCATCACTGTCGCACTGCCGCAGGTGGAGTTGACGGTTCTATTCCCGCTCCGCCCTGATAATGGAGTAGAGTCGTTAATCACAGGGTCAGCAGACAGGGGGCGCTCTCCTCTGGGTTTTTTCATGAGGCTGACGGAGCACATTTGGAGAACTCACACATGATTGACTAACTCTTTATTATTATTCTGTCTACGTCTCCAAATCTCAAAATGCTCTGTTTTACCTTGTGATGTCATATAGTGGTAGTGAAAAAATGCATAACACACTCAGATGGCCAAAGACCGAAAGCTTTTTTTAAATTTTTAAATAACATTTCGGCAAAAAAATAATAAAAAATAAAAATAAAAATCCTTTGTTAGATATTTTTCTTGCTTTGGACCACAGTACACTAGTTTTCAAGATAACAGCTACCTTTTATCTTCAGTTCATTAGACAATGGCAAGTCTAGGACTGTATGAAATTTAAAAACACAGTGGAGCCCTTGCTTTAATAGAACTCAGCCTAAATATGCAGGGTTTTTGTGTTCAACAGATCTGTTACATGGTCTGATGGTGTCATGTTTAAAGTCATACAGTACTATGGAACATATAAACCACAGAATGAACTACAACCACAACTATTTCTACTACTAGTACTACTACAACTAGTGCTACAACGACGACTATTTCTACTGGTATTATTGCTACTGTTACTGCAACTACTATTACTATTACTATTGCTACTGCTACTACTGCCACTATTACTGCTACTGCTACCACAACAACAACAACTACTACTACTACTACTACTACTACTACTATTGGTACTACTACTACTATCACTTCTACTGCTACAAAAACAACAACAACAACAAGTACTACTATTACTACTACTACTGCTACTACTACTGCTACTGGTACTGCTACTGGTACTACTACTATTACTGCTAGTGCTACTACTACAACAACAACTACTACTACTGCTACTACTAGTGCTACTGGTACTACTACTATTACTGCTACTGCTACAACAACAACAATAACAGCAACAGTTACTACTACTGCTACTGCTACTGGTACTACTACTGCTACTGGTACTACTACTATTACTGCTGCTACTACTACTACAACAGCAACTACTACTAATGCTACTGCTACTGGTACTACTACTGCTACTACTACTGCTACTGGTACTACTACTATTACTGCTACTGCTGCTACTGCAACAACAACAACTACTACTGCTACTGGTACTACTACTATTAGTGCTACTGCCACTACTGCAACAACAACTACTACTACAATTACTGCTACTGCTACAACAACAACAATAACAACAACTACTGCTACTGCTACTACTAATACTACTACTATTACTGCTACTGCTACTGCTCTTACTACTGTCATTACTACTACTACCACTACTACTACTGCTACTACTACTGCTACTGGTACTACTACTATTACTGCTACTGCCACTACTGCAACAACAACAACTACTTCTACTGCTACTGGTACTACTACTATTAGTGCTACAGCCACTACTGCAACAACAACTACTACTACTGCTACTGGTACTACTACTATTAGTGCTACTGCCACTACTGCAACAACAACTACTACTACTGCTACTGGTACTACTACTATTACTGCTATTGCTACAACAACAACAATAACAACAACTACTGCTACTGCTACTACTAATACTACTACTATTACTGCTACTGCTACTGCTCTTACTACTGTCATTACTACTACTACTACTACTACTACTACTACTACTACTACTACTACTACTACTACTGCTACCTGTACTTCTCTGCATGTAGTACTGTGCTCATCTCTAAGGGATGTTTAAAGTGGGTGTAAATGCAGGAGAGCGGGTCCACACAAGAGCGACCTTGAGTTCAGATCAAACGTCTGAGGCCACGATCGAACACTTCTCTATCTCTGTCTCTGATCTGACAGAGGAGAGGAGGGAGGGAGCAAGGAGAGGAGATGAGGGAGAGAAGAGAAGAGGGAGGGGGGAGGAAGGAGAGAAGGCGGAAGGAGAGGAGGTGAGAGCAGAGAGGGAGAGTAACGATGAAGAGAGAGGAAGGGAGGGAGAACAGAAGGGAGAGGAGGGAGATGGAGAGCAAGCAGAAGGACGGAGAGACAAGAGAGAGATAAGAGAGACGAAGAGACAGGGAGTGAGAGAGAGGAGAGATGGATGGATGGGTGGAAAGAGACAGAAGAAATAAGAGAGAGAGGAGGGGATAGAGAGCAAAAAGGAGACAAAGAGAGTTAGACAGAGAGAGGAAGGAGAGAGAAGAAGAAAGATAGAAGGAGAAAGATAGATCGAAGAGAGAGGAGAGCTGCCCTTAGACCCTTTCCCACGCTGCCAGAATCAGACTCCGCCCACAAATAATGATCTTGATAAACAGGAAGTTTACAGAGAGAGAGTTCAAATTAAAATGGCTTCTCCACATTAAAGTTCAGATGACGAGTTTTCATGTTTTTCTAATTCAGATTTGGTTTGGTGGGATAGTACCTGTGGTGAATCTTTATCATACATCAGTTAAGAGTTTATGGTGGAAGAAAAGTTGAGAAGAAAAGTATAAAAATACAGGAAGCATCGCTGAGCTACTACCTCAACCTGTGTCATCAACACAGAAACTTAATCCAAAATGTTGAGACTATTCAAGACAGTTAAAACATTCTTTAGCACAATAAAGGTGCTGTCATTTATTTTTATTAGTCTAATCATTTTTACCCATCCTTTTGCTCCTCGCGCTAAGTCACTCCTCCTTCAGAGCGCTATCACAACACAATCAGTGTGCATCCCGCTAATGACACTACAGCACATCGCATCAGGTTTGTGAAGTTGTAGTATACAGTAAGTGTTGTAGTCAAGACTGCACTAATGGAGACCAAGACCAGTCTGAAACCACAAGGTCCTGAGACCAGGACAAAACCAAGACCTCTGAGGGTCGAGACCAAGACAAGACCAAGATTTTTAAAGGTCAAGATCGAGACAAGACCAAGACCTCTGAGGGTCAAGACCAAGATAAGACCAAGACTTTTAAAGGTTGAGACCAAGACAAGACCAAGACCATGGCCCATCGAACCAAATCAAGACCACCTTTGTAATTTTTGACATTTATTTGTATTTTACACTTATTTTGGCACATATATCAATGTTTTTATAAATCTGTCCCCATTTTATCTGATTAATGTTAATTTAAGCTTAAAATAAGGCAGATGGACAGGTAGGATGTTTAACCTGCCCTGTGATACACGCTGGTACACGAGGGCACATGCTGCTGCGGACAAGCTGCGCACTGTGGGCATGTGTGTTTGTGATGTGCCGCGCAGTGCCCTTGGGCTCCAAATAATTGCACAGACTGCAGTGAGGAGCCCCACGCACTCTCGCACACCAGTACAAGTTTAATGCCGGGAACAGCGGCCGTAATGAAATATGATTGCACTCATCGAATGTCAGACGTAGAGTCGGAGACAAGACAGAGTCCAAGCACCTTCAAATCCGAGACAAGACTGAGTCAAAGCGATTTCAAGACAAGACCAAGTCCAAGCTCCTTCAAGACCGAGACAAGACCGAGTCAAACGCCTTCAAGACTGAGACAAGACCGAGTCAAATGCGCTAGAGTCCGAGATGAAACCAAGGCCATTAAAAAAAAAAGGTCTCAAGTACTACAAAGTTAGTGTACAGTTTTGTATCATGCTTTTGTATATTTATAGAGAATAATTGTGTGGGAGCATGGGTGATAGGCTTTTGGGGGCGGAGTTTTGTACAGATTCGTATTGCTAACTATAAGGAGAACTGGAATAATGCCCAGGAGAGATCGCTAATTTATCGAAACATGCATGGATGACATGTAAAACCTCTTCAGGCATGTTTTTGATGAGGGAACTTTATAGCATGATAGAAAGCTTAAAAGTGTATAGATTTTGCTTAATACCCCCTCTTATCTCTATGAAGAAGTAATTGCATTGTCTGAAATATTCCACAGTATGACATTAAACATCTATCACGGATTTATTCAAGTGAAGGTGTATATTTATTGCTCAAAAATACACAAAACCTGCAGACTAGCCGGGCTCTGTTGTTGACAGAAGCAGCTCTATAATGTATTCTTTTTCTCCCAGACAGGACTGTTCCTCATTAGGTTTTATCCTTCTAACGTCCGTATTTTCCATCATAACAGGTCCATCAGCTGTTCAAACACCAGAGCTCGCCGTTTAGGAGTCCTTTTATTTTTCACCTCAGAGCCTTTCTCTTCTCCGTCAAAACACAGCGGCGGTCATGACACTTCATTAACAGCTGTCAATCAGACTCCTCTCCGCTTGCTTCTTTACTGTTTTTTTTAAAGGTGCAGTGTGTAACTTGGCCGGCGAATGGTCCATCACCTGTTTGCCTCCATGGAGATGTGCCTAGAATGTTCCACAGCATAGCCATAAACTTAAGAATCTCCACGGAGACCTGCAAACCAAATTACAGGTTAGATTTGTGGAAAGGCAACCCTAGTTACAGTAAGAATGCATACTTTTTAAGATATTTTTGAGCGATAAATATTGAAACCAAAGCATTCACATCTCCATGGATACGAACAGGTTTAGACCCCCTCCAGAAAAGTTACACAGTGCACCTTTAAAGCAGTGTACCTGATTTTTACGGTCTTCAAAATGTAAAAAACAGAACTAGTTTGCAGTGGTCCAAAGTTATTCCTCACTTCCCTTATGCATTCAGAGGATCCTAATTGTTCAACATGATGAATTTATAAGTGCTTATCTATAACTAACATGCTAACAGCGCACTTCCTGTTTTTCTAACATTGAAAATACTTCATGCGAGCGATACACATCAGATTTATTTTGACCTCAAGAGTTTCTTATACAATATCTGTACTGGGGCAAGGTGCATTTTGCTCAATTAGGGAAAGAAATCATATACAGGCCCCTTAACCATTTATTATTTTTGTAAAGTTTGAGTTTTCATTATGTAGTAATGTGTAGTACTTTAAAATATAGTCCACTTGTTAGATGGAGGTATTCTGTCTCATCTAAAATATCTATAAAACCGTGCATTGTGTCGCATTTCAGAGTATGGCATTAAACCTTTCTATATTCAGGGAGACCAAACCGAGCTGAGTTACAGGTCAGCTCTG